ACAGAGTATAACAGAGAATAAAGCTACTGTAATAATCATAACCCACATATCTTTGCCATATCAACTATAAACCTACTTTTGTCCACTCCTGTATTTATTTAGAAATAAAATGATTTGATAATTTATGTTTTGCACCAGTGTAAGCCCTTGTGGACAAAAAACACAATAACTAAAAGTGCCTTGTGATAAAAAAATCCGTGAAGGAAGTGAGCATAGTCAATTAGTTTACGAAGGAAACATCATCACTTCCGTGGTGTATTTGATAACATAGGGTAAAAAGGCATAATAAGGCATAATCTAGGTATTCCTGTGAAAGAATTAAGTAATAATTTTTTTCGTTTCTATGAAAACAGCAGCAATCTTTCATGTTCAGTGATTGCAGATTGAATATGGCTATTGAAAAACAGTTGATTATTAAGTTTTAAAGTCCCTTACTTAAGAAATAATTTTAGTAAAACTGAGAGTAAATTTGTTTAGAAATATTAAAGGCACAAAGCAGACTAAAAGCAAATGACAAAAGAAAGTTCTTACTGTTAGAGAAGATTCATACAGTAATATGCATTAGCAACTTGTGTACATAATTTGGTACACTTAGAATTATAACCTAGAAGGGAATAAAAAATCAATATAATGACTAAGAAAACCTACGAGTTCCACAGGTAGATGAGTATTATGATATAAAGTTAGGAATGCGGAACTAGATAGCAAATACTTTTTTCTTTCTAGAATACATTTATATTCTCTCACAGGGTTGTTCCATAGAAAACAAACTATTATGTGACTCTTATATAAAATAGGAATTGTTATCAGGCAACTAAACAAAGTTAAAATACAAAGGTAAATGAAACAGGTAAACAGCCTAATCTGCAGGAAAAGAACTGAAAGCTGTGCTGGTTATCAGGATGGCATTGTTTTTTGGTACCCCAGCAATGCAACATGGTCCCCATGTTCTTAATATGAAACAGATTTTCTATAATGAATGCACTGTTAATATCTCTTGTCTTTGGGCTTTTGACTTATGATACTTTGCTTTGCAAGATGATCAGATGTCATACTTTCTATAAAGACAATTCCTATGTTAAGTTTAGAGGTGAAAATAGGTGGCATATTATTTTAATTTTCAAGTATGAAATAGAGTAACTGTACTACAATTCAGCAAGCATTTGTTGAGACTCTCCTAACTAGACTCTGAATCAAGAGACCAGAATAAACAAAAGCTGATTTCTTGGCTGGTAGCCTTCACATATTTACTAAGAACATTTAAAACTGAGATCTGAAGTATTTATATGAGAAAAAGAATACTTCCACATTAAATTAGATCAGAGATTTACACAAAATGCTTGCTTAAACAAAATATTTTTCATTAAGTCTAATAAGTATTCAAATTTTCTAACTCTTGTCTCTAACGATTCTGACACATATACTCTATTTACTAGTAATGTCACCCAAACAAAAAAGACAGACAACCACTATGAAGTCACATATCAAAATAAAAACTCTTAATTTCAGATTGTAATCATTTGTAATGTACAATTCAAATATACTAAATTCCCAGAGTAAATTTTAAAAGCATAATTTCTTTCCTTACAGAATTGTCTTTTTAGTAGATTATAAAAGTTTAGATTTCTAGGACATACGTTGCCATCTTACTGGTATACTTGAACAAAACGATAAAAAATCATTCTTTCTTGATCAGGTGCAATGCTGGTGCAAACAGTGATATTTTTAGTTAAAACATCTGACAGTAAGGAAAAATTATGAAACTAAAAGGTCTCTGTTTAAAAGAAAATAAGAGTACAGATTCATGTAAGTTAGATGTTTTATTATTTTACCTTTAAGAGAACAGTAGCAATCGAAGAATCAAAAAGAACAACTATAGAAAATAAACATCTTACTGATATTTTTACCCTTTCTTGTTTAAAAGCCAGATGCTAATTTTATAAACTATATCAATAAATACTTATAAAATAAATATATTAGTCTATAGCTCAAGGGAAAAACAAGGTTTATATATCAACCTTCTCATTCTTCTCTTTAATAATAATAATTTGAAACTTTTTTTTAAAAAAAAGAGCAAATGTTTAAGGCATAATATGTTTTAAAATCTAGCTCCTGAAAACAATTTCACATTCTACAAATCAACAAAATCTGCACTTTACTCAAAATATAATTTTTAATTTTGTAAACTAAGAATTCTAACCCAAACTCTGATTCTATCAGAGCAAAGCAAGTATCACAGAGTCTGTTTTCTTATCTTTCAAACGCTGATGGTAGTATATCCTCGAAAGCTTTAGGAAAGATTAAATAACAGATATAGTGCCAAGTTCAGTATTGAATACATAACAGGTTGTCAATCAATGACAGCTATCACTTTTAAGTCAAAAGCTATCAATCTTTAGTCAAAGACTGGATATCTGCATGCACTCCCTCTTACTATGTCAAATTATTTTCTATCAACAGTCTTAGATGTGAGGACATAAATTTTTATATAGTTTCTAAAAATGACATATTCCTTTTGTTCCCTTCCTGGGGAGTCAACAGTTATAATGATAGAATTTATTATTTTTATTACATAATACCTTGTGGCTACTTGGTCTTAATACTTGATGAAATTCAAGTTCAAGACCATTTTCAAAAATGGGTTCCATGAATAAGTCTGTAATAGGTCTGAATTTTAATCCAGCAATTATGTAATTCTCAATATTTCTTGAATAGGTTCTTTAAAAAGTCATAAACTTTTGCTTCCTTTTACTCATCTCTCTCTCTATCAGTATTTCCAGGAGAGGACTGAGCAATCCTCCCCACATAACGGATGACATCACGTCAGTTCCTGAACCAATGATCCATTTAGGTAATTCTACTTTCTCTAACACAAAGAGAAAACTGGGCCATTAAAAACAGAACATTATAATAGAATAACTCTTTTTTAAAAAACGAACTTGAAATACTCAATTTACCTAGTCTAGTTACACTATAAAATAAATCTGCTTACATATTGTAGATACTAGAGGCCCAGTGCACAAATTTGTGCACCAGTGGGGTCCCTTGGCCTGGCCTGTGGGATTGGGCCAAAACCTGCTCTCTGACATCCCCTGAGGGCTCCTGGATTGTGAGAGGGTGCAGGCTAGGCCAAGGGACCCCACAGGCGCACAATCAGGGGTGGGGAGGGACTGCGGGAAAGCTCCAGGCTGTGTCTGGCCCGACTCCCTCAATCTTGATTGGCCAGACCCCAACAAGCTAACCTACTGGTCTGAATGTCTGCCGCCTGGTGGTCAGTGCATGACATAGCGACTGTTCAACCATCTGCCCACTGGTGGTCAGTGCACATCAGTTGACTGTCTGCTCCCTGGTAGTGCCCGTCATAGCAAACATTGAGTGGCTTTAGCATATCATTATAGCATATTATTCTTTGATTGTTGAACAGCTGACCAGATGACTAGAAACTTAGCATATCAGGCTTTTATTATATAGGATGTGTGAAAATCAGGTCATCACATGATGTTTCTACCTCTAGACCAGTGTTATCCAAATAAACTTTCTGTGATCATGCAAAATGATTTGTATCTGTGATGCCCAATTAGGTAGTCATTAGCTAAAGATGGCTACTGAAAAGTAAGATTAAGGAGCCTAATTTTTAATTTAATTATTAGATTTAAATAGTCACATGTACTATGATAATGGATAACACAGCCTTAGACTTTCCTCTCCTATTCTTGTTCTATACCATTGTGAGTCTTATCTAGATGCTCTTATTAAAGTCCCTGTGTTAAATGCTTTCTCTGTTATCTCTAAGATCAAAAGAAAGAGAATTACTGTAAAGAATTTTCAAAGCTATCTTTAAAATGTGCTTTTTGATGAAGAGTACTAAAATTAATTTTAGATTTTCTAATCAATTTACTAAAAAATAAAATTAAAAATAAATAGCATATACATCTCTGAGTGCTTGAAATGGAAACTTTTAACAATATATACTTTCTCCTAAATTCTTTGTCGGCTACATAATTAGTTCCAGAATAAAATAATGGCATAATTACAAATAAGTACAGTGCAAATCATAGCACAACCAAGCAGAATTAAGGGAAAAAATGAAAATCATTCTGTACCTATCTCTTCACTGTGAGAACACAGAAATGAATTAAGAGAAATATGATAGCTCAAATGCAACAATACAACGTGTATGTCAATCGAGAGTTGAATAACTTTTATGGGTGGTACTATTTACCTCCAAAGATTAAATCTTACCTCAATTTTAAGGGATTTTTGAATGAATACTAATGGTTCTTTTCTTTTTTGTTAATCCTCACCTGAGGATATTTTTCCATTGATTTTTTAGAGAGAGTGGAAGGGAGAGAGACAGGGAGAAAGAAACATTGCTGTGAAAGAGACATATCAGTGGTTGCCTTTACACATTCCCTGTTCAGGCCAGGATCAAGCCTGCAACTGAGGTACATGCCCTTGGCTGGAATTGAACCTAGGACCCTTCAGTTCCCAGGCCGACGCTCTTTCCACTGAGCCAAATCAGCTAGGGCCTAATGGTTCTTTTCAATTAAATCTAAGCATACACATTCATTTAAAGTAAAATTATTTAAAAGGTGGCCATAAGATCTCAGATTAAAATATTAGGTCTTTAAAGCTCCCTCTGTTTCTCCCCCCTAGTCTCCGCACATATGAACACAGTCATATTTTAAAGAACAAACGTAGGTTTCAAGAAAAACAACTATCTGTTAAAAATGAAATAATGGCCTCTCTCTGGGAATGGTATTAATGTCATCATCACCACCAATCAATTCCTCCTTTTTTCTATGAATTTGGCTTTCAGTACCCTGGGGGTGGGGATATGGGGTAGGAGGATGAAACATGTAAAACAGCCTCAGTATTCAGAGATAGGATTCAAAATATTCAAGTTATATGAATGCAAGTTATGGATAAACTACATATCAATTTTTGAATGACTGCTGATCTTTTTGTTTGGCATTTTGAATAAACATAATGAAACTTACTATTTTGAGTCAGTGCTTGAAGCAGATAATCCAAGCATCCTTCTAAACTATCCTCAGTTCTGTCAACAGCTGTTATCTTCAGCTTCTTCAAGGCATCACTGAGATTATCTGGTTATCAAAGAAAAAAAAAGAAATCAGAAATCTTACTATATATATGGCTATCATATGCTACATAACAAACAGTTAGAATAATAGGCAAAGGGCTCTCATTATAGTGAAGTAACATCCACATACATACCAAAATGGCAATGGACTATACTACTACAAGTTTATTAAATAAAATTTTATCTAAGTCAAATATGAAGTATTCATTCTGTATATATAAAATATGAATAGTCCACAAATTGTTGCAGAATATCTTTTTCAGCATTCTTTTCTTAAAAATATATTTTTTTATTGATTTCAGAGAGGAAGGGAAAGGGAGAGAGAAAGAAATACATCAATGATGAAAGAGAATCATTGATCGGCTGCCTCCGCACACCCCATAGTGGGGATCGAGCCCACCCTTGTACAAATTCGTGCACTGGGCCTCTGTCTATAACAATAAATATGCTAATTAGATCAGACAGCTAAATGACCTTCCGGATGTCCTTCCAGACGACCTTCTAGATGAAGCTCGGGATGCAGGGCCGAGGCAAGCCGCCGCAGCTGTGACAACTAAGCCCCTTGCACAAATCTGGTGCGTCAGGCCTCTGGTTTGGTTAATAAAACTACATAGATTTCCTGTATACAATTCTATCACACATCATCTGCATAATGCATTGTGTTCACCATATATTTGACCCCCTTTACCTGTTTCTACCTTCCCAACTCCCCTTTCCCTCTGGTAACCACCATACTATTGTTTATGAGTTTTTATTTGTCTGTCTTCTTTGTCATTTGTTGATTTCAGTTTTATATCCAACACTAGAGGCTCAATGCACAAAATCCGTGTACTGGGAGGGGGACCTCAGCAAAGCCTGTGCCCTCTCGCAGGCTGGGACCCCTCAGGGGATGTCCACCTACCAACTTAGGCCTGCTCCCAGCAGGAAACGCGCCTAAGCTGGCAGTCAGACATTCCTCTCACAGTCTGGGCTCCCGTGCTCCTTACTACCTGCCTGCTCACTATTCCTTACTGCTTGGCTTGTTGCTCCTTAGCACTGCTGCGGAGGTGGGAGTGGCTCCTACCACTGCAGCTGCACTCACCAGCCCTGAGCTCGGCTTCTGGCTGAGCAGCCTGTGGAGCACACTGACCACCAAGGGGAAGCTCCTGCATTGTGCATCTACCTCCTGGTGGCCAGTGCATGTCATAGCGACCAGTCGTTCTGGTCATTCCACCATAATGCTTGCTTAGACTTTTATTATATAAAAGATATGAATGAAATAATTTTTTATTGACTTTTCCTATGTGACTTATTTATTTTAGCATGATATTCACAAGATCCATCCATTTGGTTGCAAATGGCAGTACTCATCTTTTCTTATAGTTGAGTAATATTCCATTGTATATATGTACCACACTGAAAGGAGTGACATTTTCTCTACAAATCTACATAATGCCTGTCATAATGGAAGACAATGATTCTCATATCTGCTTTTGTATTCAATCTTTTGTAATTTGTTATTTTGGTTGAGTAGATGAGAACCTAGTCTCATCATACATACTACTATATGTACATAGTTGAAAAACAAGAATATGCTAATAGCCTTTTCAGATAATCATGGATATTCTTTGATACATATCAAAGCATAACAAGTGGTAATTTGTTATGCTTTGATATGTGAAATCTGAAACAATATTAATGAATGTTTCCAACTCTTACATTACAATCCATTGGTTTCTTGCACTTTGTATCATATATACATACAAGATATTTACCATCAATGCATTTGGTCGTTAAAAAATTTGGTGAGAGTTATGCATACATTTCAAATATTGACACATTTCACTGTACTATTTTAAAATACCACATTTGTTAAAATCACTAATCTTATTAAAAGACTTCTTTAAGTACTGGGACCCTGTCCAGTTCAAGGTGATACAAGTTTTCTAAAATTCTAATTTTTTCTTAAAAACTCCAACTTTATTACTGGCAAAAAATACAGTCAGTTGGATTCCTTAAATGGCAAATTAACCTCATTCATTTGTGAGAAAATATCTGTACTGAAAAGATGAGTACTGCCAAATAAGAAAAACCAGTTTGTCACTTCCTTCAAATAAACTGTTATTCCATGAAAAAATACCTTGGTCAGCTCACAATTCAAACAGTTACTCACATGTTTTTCTTCAAATTACCACCAGACTTTGTAATATAATGTAAGTATTTATATGTACTTTCCATTTCATCACATAGGATATTTTTAATTTTACACAAAGGCTGAGATTTTTAAAAAACACTATTTTCCTGCTGCATTATGGACATTCTTAAATGAAAGTGGTATTTTTCATTTCAAGAATATGATGGTGAAGAATATCATAACTAGCCCTAGCCAATTTGGCTCAGTGGATAGAGCAACAGCCTGCAGATTAAAGGGTCCTGGGTTGGATTCCAGTTAAGTGCATGTACCTCGTTCATCTGTTGCAGGCTCACCCCCCACTAAGGCCCTGGTTGGGGACCGTGCAGGAGGCAACCAATCAATGTGATTCTCTCACATCTTTCCCTTTCTATTCCACTCTCCCTAAAAAATCAATGGAAAATATCCTCAAGTGAGGATTAAAAAAAAAAAAGAAGAAGAATATCATAATTACTAATATAGTTTGGTGCTACTACTACCCTGATTCACACAGACTAAAACATCAGCAGTTTTACCCACAACTGCTTTTGCACCATTGTCAGTGCAAATGTCAACACAATGAAAAAGACAAACGATGTCTTGATTGTATTATGCAAAGAGTTTTGATCTCATGGACACCCTCATAGGATACTGAGGACCGCCTAGGATGCTACTCTCATATTAGAATTTTAGGCATTTTCTTACTTCAAAGTAAGATATACATTTTGATAGACTTTTGTGCATTATCAGCTCATGACAATTCAAAAATATGATGTAATCCTCTATTATGAAATGAGAAATCATTTATTTTCCATGTCAACCCAGGAAAAAGTAGCCTAAAAAAGTACATTAAATAACACTTACATTTCTATTGATGCCTAGTTTAACTAGTAACTAATCTAGTAAACCTAAAACGATACTTTATTAAAAATCCCAAGTTATCATTCACAAACAAGATTAATATTTATTTTCTTAGAAAAAAAGTTTTGAAAAATTGATTTTTTTCTAAAGAAAAAGAAAAACTATATATAAAAGTATCCTATCTAATAAAGAAGGAATATGCTAATTGACCCTCATTCTGTTGCAAAGATGGTAGCACCCATAGCCAATAAGGAGGGAATATGCTAATTGACATCCACACCCTCAAAGATGGCAGTGCCCACAGCCACAAGATGGTGGCACCCAGTCCCCTCAATCCCACCAGGGCGGCAGGTGAGCAGCAAGCCCAGGCCTACCCCGCCCCCGTCCCCTGGCAGGCCCAGCCATTCCATGCATCTGCCTTAGGAGCTGCCCAGTCCCCTCAGCTCCCCAGCCACCCAGATCTGGCCTGAGGCATAGGCAAGCCTCGGATACTGGCTGCCCAGCCACCCAGGGCCGGCCTGAGGAGCAGGTAAGCCTTGGATGGCAGCTGCCCAGCAGCCCAGGGCTGGCCCAAAAGTTGTACTGCCAGCAGTGGCACCAATAGAGGTGTGAGGGGGCGTCACCTCCCGCCCCTGAGGGCTCCTGAAAAAATGTCTGGGTTGTGAAACTAAACTTCAGTTTTAGACCTGACAACCCTTTCACATTGATACCTCAACATGGCAAAAAGTCTCTCAGACAACAAAGGAGGGAATGCACAGTTTTAAAACATAAGGAAGCCATCACAAGTGCTAATGATGCTAAGGGTGTGAAAGAAACAAGGGCATAGGCAACTGAAGAGGTAGAAAAACTGTTGATTTGGATAATTAAAAAGCAGTTAGCCAGTGCCAGCATTCAGAGGCAGCCATATATGAACAAGATGCTGCATACTGACCTGAAAGACACCCCTAACACTAGTGCTGAAAATGGTTTGGTTAAGGCTAGTAGGGGTGGTTCGATGAACTTAAGAAGTTCAGTGTACTATGTATAAGAAAGGTTAAACCAGGAAATCATCTGTGGGTCTGGAATAGATCTATTCAATATACATTATTTCTAACGGGGAAAAAATGATTCGGTTTCCAAACTGCTTCTCGAACAACCTTCTGGAAAAAAATTAAGAAAGAATGGACTTTCCACTTTAATCTGTTTCTTACTGAGACAATGTATCTTTAAAGTTTTATAACTGTTCCAATTATTACTGTTACATAACAAACCACCCCAAACTTACTGACATAAAACAAAAGCCATTTTATTGAGCTCAGATTCTCTGAACCAGGAATTCACAAAGGGCACGATGAAGTTGGCTTGTCTCTCTGCTCCACCAGGTCTGGAGCAGAGTCTCAAAGTCTAGAGGTATCGCTGGGAGTGATTCAATGGCTGAGGCTGGCATCATCTGAATGCACAGTGTAATAGCTCCTTCACTCACATGTCCAGGGACTGGTCTGGAAGGACTTGAAGGCTAGGACTGACCACCTGAAACCTTAGGCCTCTCCACGTGGCTTTCCTCACAACAGGGCAGCTTCCGGGTCTCAGACTTAGTGCTCCAAGCCGCCAGTGTTTCAACAAACAAGGTGGAAGCAGCATTACTTTTTAAGAGCGAGCCTGAGAAATCACACAGCGTCACTTCCGCAGCCTTCTACTGGTTACCAACAGGCATGCGCAAATCCAACAGGAAGTGAATTCCCCAACTCTCAATGGGGAGCAGTAGCAAGTTCTAGAAAAATATGTGGGGCAAAAGATATTGCTTGTGGTCATCTTTGAAAACTATAATCCGCTACAATAACTCTGTACTCACTGCATGATTTGATTAAAATAACACAAGTAGCACTATATCCTTTGGTTTTAACCAACAGTACAAAATAATATTTCGCCAAAATAGTATTTTCAGCATTGGAAACAGAAATTAAAATTTATATGGATAGCTCTGACAGAGTATCATAATTGGTTAAAGCATCACCCTG